TAGCTACTAAAAATCCTGTTATTAAAGAAAAAAGTCTTCTAAAATTGCTGACATTATAGTGCTAAGTGGGAAGAAAAAACACAGCTTCTGGGATGATTCTAATTATACACACAGCTATTCTTACACGTGTTTCTGGGTAAGATGGTAACATGACTACAAGTGTTTCACCTGCCCCCGTCTCTGGAATATATCAGAGGATGTCTTCCAAAAAAAAAACATAAAAATAAGGGAAATCAGGTATTCGTGCTTGCAGCTAGGCTGGTCTCATTGATATGCCAGAAATTTTGGCCCGTTGTGGTGATGCATGCAGACGGGGCGGTGTTGGAGGAATGGGTGTGACATTGTGCTCATGGGAAAAGAGGAGCCGGGCCAGGGAATGATGGAGGGGACCCTGACAAAGTGTCCGAGGCCTTCTGGGTCCCCACTCCAAAGAATGACCACATGCAACACAGCAGAAACTTGATCTTGAACGGGAAGTGGGTACTCACCAGTTCTGTGTCCAGAGAAGCTGTCATTACTGTGTGAGGAAGACAGAAAGATGTCCTCAAGGGCCCCGAAAGAATCCAACCTTTATTCTTACCGAGGTGACCTGACTGCCGGAGAATCGGGTCAGCGGAGGATGGAAGGATGGAGAAGTTACGGTATCACAGGACCACTGGTCAGCAGAGAAAATGGTTAAACATACAACATCCGAGTTATTGTTAATACAATGGTAATGCTTGATGGAAGCATGAAAATTAATGTCTAAGCGATTCAGTCCTTAGAAAATCTAATAATGCTAATATTAGCTGAAGATGTTAAACCACCAACAAAAATGTACAAGTAGAGAGAATGAGGTGGGGAAATTAAAGATAAGCAACATTTCTCATATTTGAGAGGCTCAAATAATTGGAAAAAAATTAAATATTTTTAGAGAAACCTAGAGGTATTACTTTAAATTAAACGAAGGTGTGCATCTTTCTAATCACTAGAGAAAAATATATACATTAAAAACCTATTAGGCATACAAGGAGAATGTGGAAGGACAAATTTATAGTAGCAATTATGTATAAAATATGTTAAATAATATGATCAAAAGATATATTAAATAATACATTTAAAGCATTTCCCATGGAACACAGACAAGACTAATATGAGTTCACAAAAAAACTTAATAAATTCTGAAAGGCAGAGATTCTGCAGGCCACCTTTTTGAATCCAGTGCAATTAATTAGAATAAATAATTAACAATTTAATATCCAATCACCTAGAAATTTCAGGATATTCTCTTTGGAACAAAAGGAAGACAAAATTAGAAACAGGACTATTGAAAAAGTTACAACGAAGCCGGGGGAGGGGTGGTTGTGGAGAGTTATAAATAGGAGATTAGGACTTTTAAACAAATTCTCTGTTAGAATCTATGCTAAAACATTTTAAAATCTTGATGAAATGCTTGATTTTTCTGATGAATGATGTCTGTTCACTTCGGATAGCATGAGGTGGGGGTATCTTGAGTGGGAGGAGACTATGGGCCATCCAGGTGGAAATTTCCAGCCAATTCTTGGATAAACAGGGCTGAATCTCTGGCAAGCTCTCTGAACTGGAGATAAAGATTGGTGAGAGTCAGCATGTAGCTTGACATGGGTATCACGGGGACACTGATGAGGTTGCCGAGGAAGAATGGATAGCCCAGCAAAAGACTCCCTTGGCAACGGTTGTCAGGAACATCATTGTTTACAAGATGGACAGGAAGGGCAGTCCTCAAAGTAGGCTGAGATGGCATGGCTGAAGAGGCAGGGGGTGAAAAAGGGGAGGGTGCCTTCAGGAAAGCCAGGGAGTGGAAGTATTTCCAGCAGGAGAGTATTCCAGTGTCAAATGCTAACCTGAGTTTAAGATAAGAATGGAAAAGTTCCTCTTGGTTTGACTAAGACTTCATCGGTGACTTTCACTAGAGCAATTTCATTAGGGTTCTTTCGGACTTATTATTTGAGAGATAATATCCATGCTATCTAAATTTCATAGTGCATAGGATAAAGTATAGAAGGCTTTTCAATTTATGTTTCAAAGCTGGTGTAAAATAAAAAATCAATCAGAAGCTGACAACAGCACGCACTCTGTCCCAGTTATTAATATGGGCACACAAATTCCTAGCAAATAATAGTAACACACTTGTTGAGGGCTCAAAACGTGCCAGGCCCTATTCTCAGTAGCGTGATTGATTAAATCCTCACAACAGCATTCATAAGAAAATAGTAATAAATTGTATTCAGAAATATACTAAGAGAAATTATCTACCACATCCATGAGTCAACGTTTAATGGTGAAATATTGAGAAATCTATTATAAAATACAATGTAAATTGGTCCAGGGGGAAAATTCATATGATTGCAATTTTCTAAAATTCTAAGAAGCCCTGATAAAAACCCTTGTCAAAGCATGATAACTAATATCTGTCTCAGCCACATTTGGTGCTGAAATGTTAGTGTCAGTCCCATTTAAAGGGACAAAAGGCAAGAATGTCCACTATTATTCTCTTTTTAGGTACTGTCCAGGAAGTTTTAGCCAACACAAGAATGGGATTAAGAGAACTAAATGGAATTAATATACTTATCAAAAGAAGACAAAATGGGCATCACTTGTAGCTGTTCTGAATGGACCAGCTAAGAAGGAACAGAAAAAAGTAATTACATCTGTCAGGAGTTTGGTTACAAAATAAGAGAGAGTTACCATTGGTTAAGATCTTTTATGTGCAAAGAACTGTGCTAGGGGCATTGCTTCATTTAATTTTGACAGCAAACCCATGAGATGGGTTTTAAGCAGAAGCTTATGGAAATTAATGGCGGAGATGGAATTTCAAACCCAAGATCTACTTGACTCTAAAGCTGATTATCTTAAAGACTGCACCGTATACTGACACACACTACACTCATACACGCTGCCTGCGCAGACTCGTAAAAACCAAAGTGTTTCTAGGCGCTAGTAAAATTCTTAGAAAATGTGAGGAGGAAGTAATCGTATTCACAATAGGAACAACAAAAAGCAAAATACTTCACAAAAAATAAAAATGAAAAACAAAAAACTTATTACCTATACCATGAGCGGTACACATTTTACTGGTGGACCTAAAGAATTCATGTATGTGTATATATGTGTATGTGAACACACACTCCGGCTGTGTGTGTGTGTGTGTGTGTGCGCACACGCACATACTTACCAGATCTTGAAGTTGTGATGGTCTTTCTACCTATAATATCTGAGGACACATTGGAATATGATATTTAACATGGTGACAGAGAGTTAAAAATATTAATACAGAAAGTGTTTTTACAAGTAAAAATACGAAGATTAACCCACCAGTAGAAAAGAGAGCTGAAACTATTAATAAGCAGTTCATAAAGGGAGAAATTAAAATGAACAGCAAGTATCAGAAAAAATTCTTCAACGTCACTGATGAATAAAAAAATGTAAGTTAAAATGACCACATGCATTGCTGGTGGGAGTACAAATTTGAACATTCTTCTGAGGAGGGATTTGACAGTATGTGTGAAAGGCCTTAAATATAAATCATAATTTTTGGTCCAGTAATTCTAATTCTTGGAATTTCCCAATTGAAATAATTGAAGTTATGCACAAAGGATAATTATTGCTCTGATTTTTATAATAGTGAGAAATTAGGGCCACGTTAAATGCCAGACATTAGGAGGCCATTTAAATAAATTATAGACCATGTCGTGGAAAAATATGCAGGAATTTTAAATAATGTTATAAAAGAATATTTAATAACCTGGGGAAAAGTTTGATATATTGTTAAATGGATAAAAAGTAGGTTATGCAACAGTGTGGATTGTGTGTCTCTGAATAATTTTAAGTATGCGCTTGCATTTAAATCTTGGAGGCTGTAAGCAAAAATGTGAACCCAGATCATCTCTAAAATGGTGAGACTGGATGATTTTATTTTTGCTTCTATATTCAAAAATTTTAATAATTTCTTTAAAGACAAGATGTTGCTTTGAGAGTTAAAATAATAGCAACCAATATGCATAAAACATATATGCAAAAAAGAAGATTAAAAAGGAAATACACCCTCCTGTGTTTACTGCTGCCTAATGGGAGTGCAGGTAATGTTATTTTATCCTTTGTATCTTTTTTCTCTGCTTTGATCATGTATTAATTTTAAAACCATAAAATCTGAACAACACACTTTTCAAAAGCAGAGGAAGAGAGGAAGGAGAAAGGCATCAACCCAGAAGACACTTGAGCATAGCAGAAATGCTGAAATAGGTCATTCACTCGTTCACCCCCTCACTCATTCACTTCACAGTCGCTGACACTAAGTTCCTACTACGTGCCAGACGCTGTCTCCAGCGATGTGAACGCAGTGGCTAAGCAAAACTGGCACGAGTTCTGCTCCCTTGGAACTTGCAGTTGGAGCCTGACATTAAGTGAACGTGCGTGGAACGAAATATAATTGAAAATTCTGAAAGCGTATTATGCATAAGAGTAGGGCTTTATGAGAGTAAACTCACCGAAGGTTTATATACGTATGAATGTAAATATTTAACAGCTTAATTAGGAAAAAGTGATATTCAGGAGAAGAGTCACTAGACGATGAAGGTAGGCTTGGGGACGGGAAGGAGGGGGTGAAGGGAGAGGCAAGTAAAACACGTTGCCATCTTCATAGGAACCTGGGATGGGATCCAGTCGACTGTGTAAGGTTTCTGATTATTTGCGAGTGAGCAGAGAATTCTATGTGTGCGCACTTAGGGCAGAAAAGATGGCATAATTACAATAATCCTGAAATTTGGAGCTGTCATTCCAATGATTAAATTACTGTTAATTCCAAACTTATACATGTGAATTAACCAACATGAATAGCAGAAATCCTTGACTGACTGTATCCAGTATGAATCAATTCCTAGACAGATAGTATCAGAACCTTTCTGTTACCCATGGCAGACGTAATTAGAAGCTTTGCTTTATGGCCAGGACACAGACTCAAAAAGAGGGCTTTTGTTTTCCAGCATTAAATGAACCCACCATAGACTACGGCTTCCAGAGACTGCAGAAAGTCATCCCAAGGCATCCTGGGGATCCGGAGAGATTAGCTAAGGTAACACACTGCGGAAAACGACATATGAAAAGCTTCTTGTCGAATTTCAGCAAACTGAGAGGAACCTAGCAGCTTGAGTCTCTTTAAAATTGAATTAGGCCCTGGAATTTGGCTAAGCTTGAGATGCAAGATGCACATGAAGTATCTACTATCTATGAAATATATTGTGATTAATCTCTGAGGAAATACAAAAATCTGAAAATGTGGGCCTATAAAATAGATACGCCACGTGTTTTCCGCTTATAAAACATTGGCAACTTTATGAAAATAAATAATTCTGTAACTGCTTAAACATGTAAGTTCCATTCCTTTGTATTTAAATGTACTTTTATTGACCCACAATCAAAGGGACACTTTAACCCACAATCAAGTATTCGCCAAGGGCCTAGTATGTACACAGATATTTAATAGAGTGAAAACCATCTCCATATGAAATTTCTATGAAATGTATCACTTTTAAGTGAACTTGCTTACAGAAATTATTTTAGCTTTCTTTATTTAAAAGTACATCCATGTATTAGGTATTTGATTAATGAGAAATTATTAAATTTTAACAATTAGGTTTGCATTTTAAGCACATACATTATAAAATGCCATGGTCTCTTTTCTGTGAGTAAAATCCAAGCACCACAGTTGCTTCTACATCACACCTTTATTTTCCTCTTGGAAAAATCCCCAGCCCCACCATTAAATTAGATGATACCTGGAAAGTAGGTTAATAGCAATTTAAAAGGCTGTTAAAAACAGGAGGTGGAAAAGACAAAATGAGAGGAAAGGGATTACTGATTACTAATTCTCTCTGGTTAAAGTGAACAGGGGGAGATATTATTGAAAGAATTCATCTTTATTAGAATAAAATTTTGCAGAGGCACTGCCAAGATAATTTCAGTACTCTGGACAACTCCTTGGCAAACCACTAAACTCTCGTCAATCAATTATTTTAAGAGTATTTGGTTAATTAGAGTACCAGATTTTTTATAGAATGGTCTGAAAGTAGCGTTTAATGGAACTTCCATGACATTATTAATTTTAACAAACTCCACCCTTCATCTGGTGGTTTTTTGTTTTGGTAGCCAAGATGTTTATGGAGTCCTTTTCTCAAGATGAATTCCACATAGATATATATTTACGCAGGGATTCATACATGTGATTACATTCTACCTGTCAAAACAAACACAGGACCACTTGGCTAGTACATTTGAGGGTGATGTCTGGACTTCTGATTTTTATATATAATTTTCCTTTGTGTTGGCCATTTTTGCATTTTTACTTGTTCTTATGCCCGACCTTTCTCTTCTTTTTCTAGGAAATGCTGTTGAAAAGAGCTGCAGATCTGGTGGAGGCGCTGTATGGGACACCACACAATAACCAGGTTAGACACTCAGCTTTTACACTCCCTGGATCTTGACTTATTGCTGGATAAAAGCACTCACCTCAACCTGCCGTCTTGTAGGACATCATTTTGAAGCGAGCCGCAGACATCGCTGAAGCCCTCTACAGTGTCCCCAGGAACCCTAGCCAGATCCCAGCTCTCTCTAGCTCTCCAGCTCACAGTGGCATGATGGGCATCAACTCCTACGGCAGCCAGCTGGGGGTCAGCATCTCCGAGTCAACACAGGGGAACAATCAAGGTACTGCCTTCCTCAGAGTCAAAATGCAGACGTCTTAGACACTCAAAACGGTGGTTCTGCTGGAGGTGGGGGAGTTAAAGCTTGATTCATATGCCGTCAAGTGTGTGTCCCAAACAAAAGCAATGCAGTCATTGGATTATCTCAACATTAGGTGTATTGGTAGACTGAGCTTTTGGGGCATCGGGTGGAATCCTTAAATTGGCAATATTTAAGGATAAGATTAACTATTATGAATTTAGAAGGGTTTTGGCTTCCTGAAACTAGATTTTCAGGTATTATTTGAATAAAATGTATGCTTCTGCTCTTGTGATCATCAAATTGAATCAAAGAAAGAAGCTGAATTATTGTCGTTTTCGTTTATTGGACCCAACTTCCTAGTATCAAGGGTGAATGACTCAGATTTACTGGGTAACTTCTACTTGTATGTTATCTCATATACAAATATATGCAAATGTATGCAAATATAGCAACACAGTTAACTGTGCTTTTACACATAAAGCATATTGTGTAAAGAGTTTTGTCTTTGAGGTTGATTTTATTAAGGTGCTAAATTATTATCAACCATGTTTAAAAGGAAGTAAATGTCTCTGCTAATGTCCCTAAGCTTGCGATAGTTTTATTTCTAATTTTATTCATCCATTGCAAAGGAGTTCCTCATTCTCATGCCCAGGGTGAGTTCTTACAGAAAGCTGGGTGGGATATATTACCTTATTTCTCCCCCAAACTTGGGTCATTTCTTAAATAACTTTAGAGACAGTTATCCATGTGGGTTATAACAGGATAGATTAGGTGATGTCTCTGTGCTGGGGTTTCAGAAGTATGGGGAGGACTTGTCCCTTCCCTCATGCCACTCATGGATTGGATCTCCCTGCATTCAATTGTTGGTGTTTCCAAGTCTTTGATCAAAGAATAGCACATTTAGATGAATTCATCAACGCATTTTGAATGAAAATGTTCCCCACCCTCACCCAGCAGAGCATGGTGACAATGCTGAACTTCCAAAGCGGTGCTCTGCGGAATGCCAGTGGCCCTTGAGATGGTCAGTGTGTCTTTCCCCCACCACACCCAGGAATGATGCTGTGGTGTGTTAAATTTGGGAAACACAGGGTTAGCAAAGTTATACCAGTTTATTTATTCTCTGGGCCCTTCAAAAGCGAGTCTTCCAGGAATGGCTGCAGTATGCACCATCTGTCAAGGTTTATCTGACCACAGAATGCTTTGCTCAGTGATACCCATCGGTATCTCAGGGGACTCTGGTGTCACGTGAAATACGATTTGGGAGATGCGGCTGCAACACTGCCATTAGTCATTCACTCCTTGGTGTGAGTTGAAGGTGTTCACTGCAAATGGGAAAGAGGAGGAAGCGGGGAATTATAGGGCAAGGTTTTGTGCAGGATGGAGAAGAGACAGGAAGGTATAAAAAGTCTGATGACAAGCTGCAGACTTCCTCCTGCGGCCCACAGTCAGCTTGGTGGGATTCTGTAGCCGGGGACCAGGTGGCCCTACGCTGCCGTATTTGGTCCCCGCCGTGTGTGTGTGTGTGTGTGTGTGTGCAGGTCTATTTACCTGGGCTTTGTCTTTGTTGTCCAGGATACATCCGCAACACGAGCAGCATCTCTCCGCGGGGCTACTCCTCCAGCTCCACCCCTCAGCAGTCTAATTACAGCACCTCCAGTAACAGTATGAATGGCTACAGCAACGTCCCCATGGCCAACCTGGGTGTCCCAGGGTCACCAGGGTTTCTAAACGGCTCCCCCACCGGCTCTCCTTATGGAAGTAAGTGCCCTGTCCGTCTGTCCGGCTCTCCCTGTCTCTCTGTCCCTGGGTTTTACTATTCAGCCTTTTAAGGGAGAGCAGCATTCCAACATCTTACTGCGTCGTGAAGGAGGAGCCCAGTTTCCTGATGCGACGTCCTTCCTGCTTTTCATGCTTTTCCTTTACTGGACTCACGTGGGCTCATTTGGTGACTCAAAGCCTTCCAAGGGAAAGAAGGCGTCCCTTCTTACAGAAGAGCCGATGTGGCTGGTGCAGATGGGAGTGAGGAATTAGGGCTCCATTTCAGTGAACGTTCCAAATACTCTTCATTCAGCTCTCCCAGATGTAGTGTTTTACTGAATCGTCACAAGAACACACTGAGGTCAGTATTTGCTTGTTGTCCTAGGCGAGGAAGATGGGTTCACAGCGGGGAACTGGCTTACCCAGAATCCCACAGCTGGAGTAGCGCAGGGCAAGAATCTGGACACAGAGTTCATGACCTCAGGTTGCTTTGTGTAACACACCTTGCTCCCTTCTGACTTTGCTACATGACTCACCCCTCCCTTATGCACCTCCAGAGAGATGGAACTTGACTGCGGGTGACAGGGTAATATATGGGGACAGAAGCTCTGAGTCCTAATCTGTGGGCTGGCAACAAGCTAGACGTTCTAGGAAGTTTTGAGAACTCATGCGGGTTGCTTGGGGGCTAAGCTGGGACTTGCACGATGGTCCCAGGAGCCTGAGAGGAGATGTGTTTTTCAAACCTACTTAGGGGATGCTTCCCTGAAGAGTCTGATGGATCGAGCGGAGTGTCTTTGAAATGCTCAACCTTGTTGCAAGGCTCTGCTGTAAGCCTTCTGTCTACCCAGAGCGGTTCCCTCGGGCCAGGGTAGAGGGTGCGTCAGGAAGTGATGCACCACGGGAAGGGTCTGGGGGTGCCGCTGTCAGCCTTGGGACCTGCGGTTCCCTGGGGACACACATCCAGGAGTTAGTTCCGGGTTATTTGTTCAATTCACTATACTCTGCACTCTGCTTAGCGTGGTGAAGACACAGAAACCGAGTAGGAGGAGTAGCAGAGGCTGGTTCTTCTAGGACAACTGAAGTCTCGTTTCCGCAAAGATGTGGGTTCTGTGTTGTGTCCTGTCAGATGGCCCAGATCAGTCAGGTCAGAGGGAGCTAGAAAAACAAGTCCTCCCTTCTTTCTCTTTTCTTCCTTCCTTCCTTCCTTCCTTCCTTCTTTCCTTCTCTCCTTCCTTCCTTCTTTCTTCCTTTCTTTCCTTACTTATTTTTACCTTATCTTGTTCCAAAAATTTTCTGGGGAGATACAAATAGTCTGATGGGTGTATGAAAGTATAAAATAGAAACTATAAGAAACTGAGATAAAAGAAAAACCATGGGTGGGAAAATTAGATGTATCTGAGGGCTACAACTGATGCCATTCGGTCTATTCAAGGGAGCCATTTATTTGGTTTGGAGGCTTAGAAGATGTGCAAGCAAAGAGAGAAACACTATTTGTCATCACATTTTGTGTCCACACATTGTTAGTAGTAGGAGGAGGAGGAGGAATAGCTCGGGAGAAACCTGATCTTTCTGTGGCTAAGACCTGGGACAGATTTCTCCCGTGCATCCTTGTGGAGAAGGTCACCTGCGTGCAGAAGGGACCACGTCTTTAACAGCCCCCACAAGTGATGCAAGGGCAAGAGAGCCACTGGGTAAAGAATACCACAAAAGAACCATCCCAACAGTAAGGATAATTTACGATTACATTCCACTTTACAGCCTGAAAAACATGTTCACACATAGAGTCCAGTCAGATCCTCACAACAACCTTCTGACATGGATAGAATCATCATCATCATCATCACTTATTTGTATATAACGTACATATTTATATATAATTGTATTTATTAATGTAATTTATTTTATTATTAGTATCATCATTTTCCCTTTTAAGATAAGAAGGGCTGTTAAATGACTTACTCAAGGACGCACAGCCAATAAACAGCAAAATTTGGACTAGAACATTTGTCATCATCACATTTTTAAATTATTCAATAATATTAAAAATATTTCATATACTTACACGACTAGGCTGAACCATATGAAACTACCTCTTCTTGATCTCCAAAAATGTGCAGTTTCATATGTTCAGTCCTTTGCTTATGGATGAAATGTGTGTTAGGTTGACCCATGTGAAATTGTCATTTTCGCAGATCAAAAATGGTCAATATAATCATACAGTGTTTAGTGTGGTGACGGAGGAGGGAGAGAGAGAGAGAAAAAGACCGGAAGGGGTGGGTGGTGTGTGGGTGGAGAGACAGAGAAAGAGAGAGAGAGAGTGAATGGATGAGAGGAATTGCCCATAGGGTGTTGATGGCTTGATGTTTCTTACTAGATAATTCGTTCGGTAGGCGGGACCCTCCAGCCAGTGGCAACTTCCTTCTACTATCTTTTCTCATTGATCACTCAATCCCTCAGCCACAAGAAGAATAATAACACCCCAAGTCTTCAAATGACCTGTTAAAACAAGAGAGCAACTATACTTCAGCAAAGAAAAGACTCACACACAAGAGAGCATGCACAAAATAGAATGATGAAGGCGCCCTGCCCGGAGGGAGTGGGAGACGCAGATGGGAGGGTCCTCCCGCTTCCTACTGGGTCTGCGTGATCCCTTGTGCCTTCCTTTCCCGAGGGAGGGTCTGAAGCAGTTGCAGGCTGGGAACAGAATTCCAAACAGTGCATTCATTACAATAAAATCCCCTCCTGCAAAAATACGGCATACCGCATGGGGTTCATTACCATAGCAGGTGACCTGTATTTCTAACCCTCTAGGTCTCAAATTCTCTGGGAGATTTAAAAAAAAAACGCTCCGGGGAAAACCATTTCATCAGTTCGATTCCTTGTGTCTCAAAACACCGTCCTCTAATTTTTCATTCTGTTTTTGAAACTGCTCTGATGTGGCCGGGCCATGCCATGGAGCCATCCCTTGCCAGAGATGTTAGAAAGAAGCCAAGCCAAGCCTCTCGGTCAAGTTGACTTGCGTTACGGCCAACGCAGAGTATCAAAAACCTGCATCTTTTACTGTTTTTGCTCTCACACCACTTCAAAAATGGCCAAACAGATGTTTTTTCAATTTCGCATACAAACTTCACTTCCTGGCGGTAGCGGTGTGTGCCAAGTTCCAGCTCAGTGCAAGTTTTTATGGCCGAATTCTAAACCCCTGACAATAGGGGGTTATAATGAAATGCTGACAGACCCCTTAGCGCCAGCAAATGCAATGGTTCGATGCAAAGGAGGATCTGTGCCCGGTGAGTTCCAGCTGGGACAGTATAAGCCAGTCAATCCTTAGAAGAAGAAAAGTGCTTTTTCCTTAACTCCCCATGTTCACAGACATTTCTGGGCCAGAAGTGCTTGTCTTTACTTTGGCCTCTGTCCACAGAGAGAGGTGTCCAGAGAAATTCTCAATTTCGAGTATGTGTGGTTGATCAACTTTCCTAAAACGGTACACTCTGGTGTCCCCAGAGATGTCTACTCAACAAGCGTGCACCACGCGAGGGACCACTTCATCCAAAGTTGAACAGCCACCAAGCGCATCCAAAGTTTGGACTGGGATGCATGCAGACGGGAATCCAGCCTGTCCTCAGGGGTTCCGACTTCACTCGCATGAGCTTAGACCATGCCCTTGGCCTCGACATTTTCATATTTTCACAACAAATATCAAGACATTTTCTGTGGTAGAGTATTACATGGTTATTATGGAAAATCTAGAACATGTGAAAATAGTTTTAAAAAGAAAGCATACGCCCACTGGAAAAAAAAAAGTCTTGTTAACATTTTAGTGTATTTCTATTGTCTTTTTCATCAGAAAAGAAAAAAAAATCCTACTACAGTTGTAACATTCTCTTTATAAACACTTAGAAAAGCATGTCTATGCAAACAAGAAAAGAAAAAGGACACCCTTTATTTGTTCTAGGCGGAGGTAACCATTGTTAAGTTCTAAAGGATCGCCTTCCAGGCGTGGATAGATACATTCTGAAAATTGCAGTGTCTGCTCTGATGCACGGCTAATGGGATTCTGATGTAAGATCCATGAAAGACAGAGTAAAAGAAAACTGGCAAAATTATCAAAGTCACAGATACGAAGCTGGACTCTGTAAAACCCGCCAGCGATGCGGACCTGTGTCCCACGAATGGAGAGCAGATATTCAGGTGCAAGTTTGAATTGCAAAGTCAACACAATCAACAGGCTTCTCCCAGAAATATGAGAATTTATTGGTCCCCTTGCCACTTGGTTAATGAAAGGTTAACAGACAACCTTGTTTACAAGCAGTTATACCTTAGGTCGAAGAGGAACGTTAATATCCAGGAAAGCTATTATGCTTATTGCTAAGGATTACATTATTTTTTCCCCAAGAAATAGAGATTTTTTTCCATTTGTTTCCTTTAACAGCTTTTACTGCTTTCTGCTATCTCAAAAGCAGTGCATGCTCATTGTAGAAAATTTTGAAGATATGGACCAGTAAAAGGAAGAAATTTAAGAATATTCATAGTCCTACCAGCCAGAGATAACATTGTTAAAATTTAGGATGTATATCGCATCCTTCTAGACTTTTTTTGCTTTGTATGTTTTTTAAAAAAAAATAAAAGTGGGCTCATGGTCTATGTAATTATGTAATGTGCTTTGTTTATCTGAAGAGGCATATCTTTCCATGCCATTAAATACTCTTCTCCAATATTAGTTCTAATGTTTGCATAGTGTTCCATTTTATGGACCTAATATAGTTTACAGCTGCTGGTCACATCACTCATTTCCTAGTTTTTTACAACTATAAGAATGCCCTTGGATTTTTTTTTTTGGCACATTTATGATTATCTCCTTGGGATTAATTTCTAGAAATTAAATTAGTGGGTTAAGAAGTATGCACATTTTAAAATACTTTGATACATGTTACCAAAGCCCCTCCAGGGAGGTTAGTTCTCCTGTTAGAGAACGAAGAGTGTCTGTTTCCCTGCCCTGTTAATTTTTTCTTAATCTTTATCAACTTGGTAAGTGGAAAATAGCATCTCATTGCTGTTTTAATTTGCATGCAATCACTAATCATAGGTCTATAAAGGTCTTTTGGTCTTTTTCATTTTCTCTTTTCTGTGACATTCCTTTCCACGTCCTTTGCCCCTTTTTCTACTTGGATGTTTTCTGATTAATTTATAAAAACATTAGCTACTGAGGAGCTGAACATATCTAAATAATTATGACAAATATTTTTCTTAATTTGTCATTTGCATTTTCTGCATGAGTTAGTTTTTTTGTCACATGGAAAAATCTATCTGGTGACATTCTGTTTAAGCTTTGGGGTTGAAAGGATGAGGTAAATTAAATAACTTCCTAATTTTTCTACTAGCTCCTTTATAATTGTGTTTTTACAAATAACTTTAATCCACTTAGATTTACTTTCCTGTCTAACATGAGGAAACACTCTAAATTTTGTCTCCAAATGGACAGTGTATTTGTTCCACGTGTTTATTCCCCCCACTAATTTGAAATGTCACCTTTTACTAAGTTTTAATTCTCGTGGATACCCAGATCTGCTTCTGGGCTCTATTTTCTCCAAGGACTTGTCTATGCTAGTAGAACACTGATTTCATTGATGCAGATTTATCATAAATTTTAGTATCTGTTAAGATAAATCCCTCCTTAAAAAAAACTTTTAACAAAACTTTCTGGCTCTGATACAGTGCTGTTTTTTTAAATAGATAAACATACGAATTATGGTTGTTGACATGCCCAGGTTAAAATTCCTTTTAGGATTTTTGTTATAGCTGGATTAAAATTTAAATTTGGGCATAATTAGACATTTTCCAAAAATTTTGTTAAAAATATTTCAGTTGGGTATGTCATAGCTCGGTGTTTGCTCAACTCTGCAGCAATTCTTTTGTCACTTGGTGAAACTTGAAGTGACTCTTTTTTCCACTAAAGGGGCAGCCGCATTTGGTCTAATGGGCATGCTTTAGGTTGGGATCTGCTGTTAGAAAAGAATGATTTGTAAAAGTGAGTCATATGCTGAATATAAATGGAATTGAGTTTGTGTGTGTGTGTGTGCCTGTGCTTAATTCACACTGTAAAACCCTCCTCTGTCACGGTGCAGGAGGGGGGCTCTGCTATAGCACACCCCGGAACCACGGCGCCATTTTGGCGTGGGCGTGGATTACATAGAGTGGCAGAGACTGGATGGTGGTCAGAATCAGGGACTTCAGAATCTCAGCTCTTCTTTGGCCTCTAACACTGTGTCTTATAGAAAGCGGAGAGGTCCCTCTCACCCACCCCGCACGCACACACTTCAGTGATGCCAAAACCAAGGCTAGGCGATTGACTTGGAACTCTGAATAAGGCCTAGTATCCTCTCCCATAGGATGGTGAATTTGCCAAATTTCTTCTTCATTTGCATCTTGACGTACTACACGAGATTCTTTCAGGATTTAATCCTCCTTTCCAAATCTTTTCTTTGGATTCTTATTACCTGTGGGAAGACAGAGATGTACTTGGATGCCTCCTGCACTGCCCTTTAAATCAGGACCACTTCAGGATAAGCAGCTTTGAGCTAAAGCTCTCGTTTTGAAGCCTTTGGTTTGTTGTTCAGCTGTAAAAGACACCACATCAGAGGTCTGCTGCCTGACTGCTACATGTATGCAAGTATAAGAACATAGCCCAAAGCCTATCTTTGCAGGGAAAGGGCGGGGAATGAGCTGGAATCTGAAACAGTGCAGCAGAACCTTCAGTTCACCGTGTACTTGGTCTTTGACCCATAAGTCACACTCATGTCCTCACTTTCGAATTCTACCTTGGGGAGTATCTGGGCCACTGAAGAAAGAGGCAGAAGGTAGCACTCCCAGCCTTTATCAGGGGCTTTGCCATTAGCTTCTAGTAATTCTTTTACCGAGACACGTGGATCGGACAGTTCAGAATTCTGGAGATTATGCTAAAATGAGCCCCTGAAACTTGATCTTATAAAATGCTATCTCTGACAGCTTCACCCTTGTGAACTCTGGTTTACCCCTTTCTTGAGCAAGCTGAACCCAGAAGAAGAAAATGATCTTGTGTGATGTAACTTGGTGGAGTATCTGACATGAAGAGGTGGGGCCAGTCCTTGTGTAAATTGCCTTTGTTTTTCTTGGAAATCACAACGCTTAGCTTTTGGCTTCCTTTAAAGTATTTTAATGTTAATGTTGGTCTGTTGTTTTTTTTTTTTTTCCCTACATATTACCTCAGAGGAGGCTGACTTGCAGCTTTATTTCCCAGGAGCTCTGAAAGTAGAGAGAGGGGGAGGTAATCTCTTAAATGTTAATAAACTTTTACATTTAATGAGGAAGTGGCCCAGAGAGATGACACGCTCAGAAAAGACGCCAGCCCTGCAGCTCCAACCTCTGGCACCCTGAGGATTGCCGGGGAGGCACATGGCTCCCAGACAGGACCACTTCTTAGGGTTAAAGAAGAGGTTTCTATTTTTGAGTAGATTTGATAAATTTTCGGATGTCGGTCTTGGTCGTCTCTTGTCGAGCTTCTCCCTGCGGAGTAAGACGTACAGCGTCACCTGGTGGTGCCCTCCCGGGCCGAAGGGCACCCAGCCCGCAGCATCTCCGGGGTTGTGTGTACTCCTCCGACAGGATGACCCAATTCGTTGTTCTTCCCCTTGGACAGGGCAGGGACATTGTCACAGTCACCTTTTTTTTTTTTTAATCCCTGGAATCTATAACAGTGCCTGGAACAATTTCAAAATGTCTCCATCGACGTGCACAGATTGTACGTACCACAGAGAGAATTAACTCCTAGGCCTGTCTCTTTCTTAAAAAGGGTTTCCATTTGCTTTCCAGTCATGTCATCAAGTCCGACCGTTGGGTCTTCCAGCACGTCCTCCATCCTCCCGTTTTCCTCTTCGGTTTTTCCTGCCGTCAAACAGAAGAGTGCCTTTGCCCCTGTCATCAGGCCCCAAGGCTCCCCTTCACCCGCCTGCTCCAGCGGCAACGGAAACGGATTCAGAGGTAAGTAAAGGCAGCGCTTTGGGGGTCAGTGTGAAAACTGCACCCCTCGGCCAGCAGAGTCAGAGCGAAGAGCGCAGCAGACTTCTGTCTCTAACCACTTACCTGCAAGGTGCCGCTCTGGTGTTTTCATCATGAGACTAGAATGCCTTGCACAGCTGGGCTAGTCCTCCACCCAGCAGCAAGGTGGGGGAAACCAGAGAAGTCGGACAAGTCTGCAAGGCCACAGGTTAACCATGGCACAGCCGTATCCCCACCAGGGGTGTCTGCACGCCCACACCTTGCTTATCACTAGACCATGTCACTGTTTCCCGGAAGGTGCCCAGCCACCAAGGCACATGCTACCCGGTGATCGCGGCCGGCCCCATGGGCTTGCCCTGTGCAGTCCCTCCCCAGTGCCTCCCCAGTCCCTCCCCAGTCCCTCCCTGGCCCCTCCCTCGTCCCATGGTACCAGTGGATGGGGCCCATCAGGCGCAACCAGCACATTCTGAGAATTCTGGCTCCACGCTGGTCAAATTGATAGCAGGTGCCTGATCAGGGGTGGGGTGGAGAAGAAAGGAAAAAAGACATACTGTGGCTAAGACCAAACATTAACATCGCCTGTCAAACCCACTTTGGGGCAATGTCCTAAAATAGAGGACGACGTGATGTAACACAAATGTGATGAGTACATGGACTCTAATCATCTCACTGTGAGCGGGAGGCAGCTGATGGCAAAGGAGCAAATTGGAAACTGCTGAACGCTAGGGATGCTGGCGGCCCACGTTGCTTTTCGGCTGCTCCTCACGTCTTGACGTGGAAACATTCCCGACAGGCGGTGTTGGATAAAACCAAAAAGGGCAGAAGTTTGGTTACCTCCTCGAGGATCAAAGCCTCTGAGGTCAGCAGAGCCTTGGATGGGATGGGCTGTCCCTGGGACGGTGTCTGCCCAGTGGCTTTATTTATTTTACTTTATTATTATTATTTTTTTTAGTGGAGGTGCTGGGGATTGAACCCAGGAACTCGTGCCTGCTAAGCACACGCTCTACCACTGAGCTGTCGCCCTCCCCCCAGCCCAACGGCTTTCTGATCACACACGGGTTCCCCGGTCCTTTGGGGACACCCGTGAGGGTGTATTCGCCAGCTGTGGCTGAGCACGGCTCTGGGAGGTGCAGGTCAAGTTCCTGACACATCCTACCATTAGAGCGATCGTACCTCCCCAAAGTCAAGTGATGTGACACACAAACTGTGAAATGAGAGCGGGAAACCCCGCCCTCAGAAGAGTCCCTGAGAATTCTTCTGCTTCTAACGAGACAACGCAGCTGGGTCTACATGCCCCGCAGCCTGGGAGTAGCTGGAAACATCTGTATGTTTGAAGGAAAAAAAATACATATATATTTTGATTTTCATCCAGATATCTAGTCCAGAGAGAAAAAGGCTCAGCCTGTAGCTGAGTGTCTCCACCTGCCCCAGTGCTCATCCAAGACCAGCGGTTTCTAGCCTGTCATTAGGGGCTCTGCTCAGAACTTTTCCCACACTGGCTTCACCTCCCGCCTGGGGAAGCAACACAGTTGCTAAATTTCTGCTGCCTCTTCCCCCTGCTCCACAACCCCTTCAGTGACGGTGATGACGTCTCCCCTTTCCAGGTTCCATGGTTTTCGTCCTGTCCCTTAAACCTGGCAGGGGCACAGGTCTCACTGGGGAAGTGCAGGGTGGGAGGCCCAGGGAAGACGGAGGACGAGGGCAGGTGCAGGAGGGAGACAGGAGGGGTGCGGCCCTCCCCTCACTCCAGGGAGCTCTTGCCAATATTTTCAGCTTCACTTGGAGGGAAAAAAGTGGAGCCTAATGGGCCCTGGCCACCCGCCCCTGCTGCCTCCCTGCAGTGTGCGCCGAGTTGAGGAAGTTGAGCTGGTTGTCTCAGATCTCCTGGGTCTGTTCCATCCAGGGAGGACCCCACCCACCCACCCCAACGTGGGGCCTGCCCGGCTCTCAGCCTCAGGGAGGCCAGAACATGGTGTTTCCACTGGCTGCCCTGGCCTGGAATCCCCAGGCTCCTGTGGTGTCACCGGTCAGGGTGGAGTTGTCCCAAAGAGCTGGAAGGGTCTGTGTGGTCACAGTGAGGTCTCCTTGTCGGGGCAGCAGCAGCTGAAACAGCCAGAAGCCCCTCGCCCTGCCCCAGGGTCCTCAGCCACGCGGGCTGCTGTCCCCACAGGTGACAGAGCCTGAGTGCACATTCTTGGCTGTGTCTGTAGGCGTGACGATTTAGGCCAGGGCTCTCATTCACGTCTACAGAGTCACCTGCGCCTCTTTGGGATCCTACAGCTCCTCCAAATTTCCTTGGTGGTTTGACCCTTAAAAAGAAGAGGGTGGGGGGGAAGGTGGAGGAGAAGCACTTAAATGGGGAGCTGGAGACTAAAACACTTACAAAGAACTGTGAACGTATCATGTAGAGTGTGGACAAGTCAAGGGGGTCTGTGGAGGACCTCCGGGAGCACCAGCTGTGGGAGGAACGCCGGCTGGACTGCGGCAGACGTGGCGGGATTTCAAGCTCAGCTCCTGGCAGGCTGGGAACGTCCGTGCGGGTCGTTGGCACCTGACAGCCTTGGCTTCCTCGTCAGTTACACAGGAAAGCTGCTCGCTCTCTGCGTGTTGTCAGGTCGCTTGTACAAAGAACTAGGAAAGGTGGAGGCGTTCCGCACAGCCCGGCAGAGAGAGGCTGGAGCTGACAGTGATGCCCTGCGGAGCCTTCACTCCTGCTCTTCCTCCTGCTGGACCAGGTGGCCAGAAGCTCAGGGCCCACATTACCAGGTCCCCCCGACAGCGAGAGAGCCCAGCTGCCCCTGAACGCACGCCCTGCAGTCACAGCATGAAGGGATCCTGGGGTCGTGGGGACTGGCAGGCAGGAAGCTCCATCTCTGTGGGGACAGCGGGAGAGTGAGAAATGTGGTCTGAGCCGTAGGGCAATGACAGGCTGGGGCGGGGAGGGGCCCTTCTCTCCCGGTGCTGGCAGGTGAGAGGGTCTGAACACTCTGCAGGGGGGGCGGCACAACCAACACCCTGCGAGGCTTGCTCGCCGTTACTGGACACCCCGTGCAAGAGGCTGAACTGAGTGCATTACCCCAACCATCTTGTTCTAGCCTCACATGGGACCCGAAGGGGAAGGTCATACCGTTATCACCACTTGTAGATAAGGAGCTTGCCCGAGGCCACCCAGCCAGGGACTGATGACTAGAACTCAGACATTCTGACCCCAGCGCCTGTGCCCTGACAGCCCGCTGTCTCTCCAGGGACAGGAACAGCGCAGGTCCTCTCTTCACCCCTCACCCATGCCTACCTCCCACCTGGACCCAGCAGGGAGGATTACAGTCCCACGAAATGCCAAAGGTTGAGAAGAAATTGGACAAAGCGCCCCAGTAGAAATGCTTCCCCTTTTCTCCCGTTAACTTCCGCCTTCCGTCCGATGCCGGTGGTCTCTCCCAGCAAAAAGTCTGGGTCACCACGCAGCAGAGCCCAGCCCACCCAGGGCCCCGTGTGAGACCAGGGAGAAGGGAAATCTCTGAAATCTTCAGGCCCGCAGCGGTCGTGTTCCTTGAGAGGCCCTGCCCTTTTAATAAGCCCCTCAGACAGCTCTCTGAGGACCCAGGACAAGGAAAGGGCTGATGAGTTTAAAATGTAATAGACAAGTTCAAGTTGAAACCCTGAGCCGGAATCCTACTGCCGGAAAGCGATCCGTGCGGGGTCCACCTTCCTTCCCGCCTCCTACCTCATTTATCAGGCATTTACTGTTGATGAGTATAGATTGTCGAGATAATATTATGCACTATGTGCCAGATTCATTTTCCAGCTCCCTCCAGGAAGAAGGAAAAAAAAGATAGAATAAAATAAAAAACCTCCCACACTCTGGGATAATTACCAGAGTTGCTCTATCTCCAAATCATCAGGGAGTGTCCAGAATTGAACTGCCTTTATTGAAAAGTTACATCGATTCAATATATAGTAATACAGGCAAAAATAATTAAGGCTTTGCTAGCTGTGTAAGACCTTAATCCAGATCTCACAAACATTCAATAAAGGCAGTGCGGGCAGGGAAATAGACGGTTGACAATTTTGCCAGAGACGAGTAGCTGGCGTGAGGGAGGAGGGGTGGGGTGGGGAAGGGAGGGGAGGGAGAGAGGGAGGAAGAGGGTGTTGGAAGAAGCAGGAAGAATTTTGGCCATTTGCTTACAAACTTAGTGCTACTCAGAAAAATGCTTCTATGATATTTGATAAGCCCTAGATGAGGCTTAATTTAAAAAAAAAAGAATCAAATTCTAGACATGGCGTGAAGTTTTGACACAAGATGATTCAGCTGGTCTCCAAGAATGTGAAAATCTGATGGATTCATCACCTGAAAGCCAAGAACAGAGTGGCGCATTTTGCTGTGTGATGTCTCCACACTGGGTCGTTGCTGCTTTATTTCCCGTGTCAAGGGGAAGTCTCAGACCTGATGCCCCCCAGACAGGCATCTTCTGTATCCTCTTGACTAGACAGGTCGGGAATCCATCCATCCACTGCACTTGGACTGGGGGTGAAGAGTGGAGATTGGGGTGACTCCCGAATTAGGAACGAAACTGTCTTCTGTTCCAGTGGGTCAGGATTCATTAGTGAAAACGAACATCACACACAGCAGCGAACCCCAAAGGAAGATGAGCCAGTGAAGCAAAAACAAACAAACAAACAAAAACAAAGCAAAACAAAAAACAAACCTCATCCAATTTCAGCTAGAATGGATGGAAACCGAGGGTGGATAGAAAGTCCAATCTGTTATGAATGATGCCCTAGTAAGTAACTCCATGGGCTTGGCACCTGGAATTTATTTTCCTCTTCCGACTCAGTGATGTGAAACCTTATAATCTAGAAATTATTTTAGTCTCATAATGAAAAACATATCACACGTATATGACAATTTAGTTTCCATGTTTAACTGTGTCGTGTATGCCACCCGTGAAGATAAAACAAAACCAAACCTAATTCTTGGCCTCCCAAGCAAAACGTCAGCAGGCTTCGTTGATGTCTCGGTGATTCGGTAAGGCTTGGGTGCCTCTAACTGGCTGTCTGCTAGAGCAGACCTGAGAAGATGGGTTCTCACGCTGGCGGGGGGCGGCGTGGCTCTGGGTTGCACCAGACTGTCAGACCCATCCCCTACCCCTCTCTCTGCCTTCTCGACTTTACTATAGACAGTCTCTGGGTCTCATTCCTGTACCATTCTTTCCTTGCAGCCATGACCGGACTTGTGGTGCCCCCGATGTAAAGAAGAGAAAGAACAGCTCTCTTAAAAATAGCACAAAACGACTTACTCTGATGGACCAATAATGGAAGCAGCACAAGGAGCTCTTTGGGGAGAGTCGTGTCCCCAAATGAACATGATGGACAGATTTGGGTTTGCAAGCAGCTGCCTCTTACCTGGTCTCACATTTCTCATGTAGCTCCGATGGCTACACAAACTGACCCTCTCGGGAGCAAGGACAAACGATGCCATTGACATAGTCAGTGCTAAGAGCAGAAATGCAATTCTTTGTTATGAACACTATGAGAACCACCTTCCTATGTTTGTAAAATATTTAAGAAAAAAAAATTGGCAAACAATTCATGCTTAATATTTTGGATACTATTTGTTTTTCTTTGTAGGAAAAAAAAAGTTGAAAGTTTCTATTTTCTATGAAGCCTTTCAGATACCAATTTAGTTTATGCAGAAAAAAAAAATTGACCAAACAGGGTACCAGCATGGAAGACTTTCTTAAAACGAAACCTGAATTGAATGATGAAATGTTGTTGTATGTGTGTTTGCTTATAGTTTAATCTCTTTAAAAAACACAAAAAAACCACAAAAAACAAAAAAAGGGAAAAATTTTAAAATGTTTTACAATTATTTAAATAAATAAACGTGTAACTTATTGTAAGTAGAGGTAGAAATTAAGACCTTTTCGGAGGAGAGAGGCGTTTCTCTTCCTGATGTAAAATGAAAGTCATGCAAACATGTAGTAACAAGTTTAAAGGTGTGTGATTATTACTGCAGTTACTAGACTCTTACCCCCATCCCACAGCCCCCTTTTTTTCCATCATTTTATTGACCCACAGGCAACAACATATACCTTACGTAGGACAACCTGATGCAGAAACAAAGATCCAAGTCCAGGCACGTACACGGATACCGAATTCCAGCAGTCCATCTCCAGCTCCGTCTGCTTTCTAGATAGTCTACGTGTCCCTTTAGGTATTCACTTTTTGTGAATATATATATATATATATTTTAATTTATATTAGCTTTCAACATTCTCCCCTGAGCACTGCAGAGAATTTCCATGGTTTAGGGTGTCCCTGGCTTTCCATCCCAGGGAAACAAGGGTCTCACCTTAAAGAGAGCCAAAGCCACAGGACTTTCCCAACCGAAGGGCCCCTTCGGACTTCTCCCTTGTCAGAGCCACATGCTCCCTCGTCTTTGGTTACCTGACTCAGCACAGAGGATTGAGGCCCGCAGAACTTCAGAAACAGGATCTGGAGAAGGTGACTCTGTTTCTTGGACTCTTCAGCGGCAGTCATAGAATGTCCACATCCTTTCTTCTCTCTGCAGAGTTTCCCTCGGCATTCAACTCGTGTGACAAAAAAATCTGTATCCTACTTGACATCGTTTCCAGGCAAGGATGTGACGGGGTGTGGAAGAGGCGTGGTAAAAGCCCCAAATCTCTCTTTTGATGTTTGAAGAAATGGAAACCTTGATGCCTGGGGGGTCAGAAGGCAGGGGCACCCATTTCCAGGCAGTGCAGGTCCCCATGCCTGCCCGGGGCCCTTTTGAGCCCTGGGACTGGCTCTTCAGGGGAGAACCTTGGCAGGAACTGCTCACAGGGGCTGTCTTGAGAGCCTGTGCGACCCTGGAGCTGTCCCAGACTTACCTGGATGTCACTTTTTTCCAGGCTAGGGTTCTCCTCGCTGACTCACTGGCACCACAGCATAGTCCATACACAGACTTCAGTTCGGGGTTCTCGGTTGGGGTTCTCATTAGAAATTGATGCAACTCCCCTGGAGAAAAATCGTTAGTGCTTCTGAACCAGTTTTAGACGACTTCGTGAATTCTGCCTGCCTTCCGTTTGCCCACACGTAGTCAACCCCCAATGATCTTATCTGCCTTGATTCTATTCCAGAACTACCCCAAATATTTTTTTTCTACGCACATGATAATCCAAGGGTTTGGAAACCTGGCGTGCTTCTGATTACTGCTAACAGTCCCCCATAGTCAGGCCCTAAAAGCACCGAAATACAGGGAAACGTACAAGAGCATGTTCCCCAGTGGAAAATCTGATGGGAGAGGAAGAGTGTGTGGATGACAAACATCACCATCCGAAAGTGAAGGCAGAACAAAATTAAGCATGTTTAAACCTGGATTTGAGCCAATCCAACATAAGGAATTTTTTTTTAAGTAGCATTGCTTTTAGAATCTGTGAATTTTGCTCTTGCATGAAGATGAGTGCGGTACTGACTTCCACATGATTGTAGAATTTCTTGGTAGCTTTACACCGAAAAATGTGTGTCACTAAATACCACACATCCTTGACCGTTCAGCTAGAGCCCTGGCAGCGACAGATCTATTTACATGTACAAATGTGTGTAAGGATTATTTTTAGTATACTAATAAATGAAAAACAAAGCTACTCCATCCTCTTTGGTCATTGCTGTTAAATCATTCTGGTCCCAGGGTTTTTTTTGTGTGCGCCACTTGGACTGTGAGTATTTCTATAGGTAAACTACAAATTCTCTCCTATCTCTGTAAGAGGAGCTGTGTTAAGATTTTTTTCATTGAAAGGGACATTTTTTGTTACGGCATCGTACTTTCCCCCAGTTTTTTTCTTTGCACATTTCAAGATGCATGGTTTAAAAAACATCACCCTCTCCACCTTTTGTACAGTAAGTTCTCATTCTCAAACTGTATAGTTTCCTTGTATCGTTTTTGCTTTGTCAGTTATATACAGTCTAAAGTTGCTATGCACAGAGCTTTTTGTAAAGACAGCTTTTTTGTTTACTGTTTTTAACGGTCTTACTTATGAAAGAATATCTTGTTTGTAAAATGAATATGTCTACTTCAGTTTTAAACTTTAAATTATCCTAACAAAAAATAAAATTTTTGTACTGTAAAAAAAATTATTGGGGTGTTGTCCTTTTTTTTTCCTTTTTTTTTTTTGAAGCGGACAAAATTTAGTTTGGGATTTATTCTCACGTTTGAGTGAAGGCAATCTTACTACGGCTTTTGCTTACCTGGAAGGTGTTCTGAGGTGCTGACTTGGAGGAGAGCATATGCATGGCTTTAGGTCATTTTTCTGTATGTATTTATTTATGTTTCCCACTAGTCCAATCCCTCCATAAAAACTCAATGATCCTACTTTCCTACTTTCCATGTTGGACTTCAGCGGTATGGGGTTCTTGGGGCAGGTGGAACATCTCCTTAGATTTGAAACTGCAAAACTGGACGATGTCATGGTTGATCTGACGGACACTGGGTGAAGAATCAGGCTGGAACCAGACATGACGCCTGTTTTTAAATCACAGGAAGAGAGCAAGACGCATGCCTCCGGGAGGAAATGATTCACAGAAAATAGCTCATACAGGAAGCTTTCATTCAACAAAACAAAAAAATCATGTTTAGACACCTCTTTTTGAGAATATTCATCTTTGATTGAGATGAGTTTTTCCTGGATCTGCTATTGGCCAGAAGTTTGAGGAGAGGGTCTTGGACCATGCACCAGGCCAGAAGGAATTCTTATTTCAGAGATGTGTGGGACTCCGCGTGTGTGTGTGTGTGTGTGTGTGTACATGAGTACACATGAGAGTAGCGGCAGGGGGTGGGTGGGGGCTTCTTTGAGCTTTTGCTTCCTCCTGGGCAAAATACACCAGCATTTGTGCAATTGCTCACAGTGCACAATGCTCTTCCTCACCAACTGGCTGCTGCTTACACATCTGGCTTGTTCGGGTAATTGCCTTATCAGTCTTGCCAACTCTGCTTCATGTCTCTGCCAAACGGGGTCCAGAGATATGCCTACAATTAGATTATATGTTTGTTCCCGTTGTTTCAACAAGAGACTGTTGGCTTTGACCCTTAGGCCAGCCACACTTTATCCCATCAGCTTTGTCTCACGTTAGCATCTGAAGCCTCCTTTCTGAGTCTCGACCCGATTGTGCTTGATTTTCACTGCCACTGCCATCCCTCCCTCATTAGCTGTGCTTCAGGGTAACCAATTTTCCCAGTTTCGTCAAAGATGAAACTCATGCCTTTCTTTCTCATTTCCCGTTTTCTTTTGAGTGATTCTGAGTAGGAACTGACGGAAAAGGTTTTATGATAGCATTTTAATCTGGTGTCTTCATAGTGTCTGCCTTGCATCGTGGTAATTCACGAAGAAGAGCTTGCTGCACGGTGCTCTGAGCACCTTCATTCCAACACCAGTCTACCTTTGACCTTGCAGATTACCCTTGACAACCAGCTCTGTGACCTAGCTCATTCTTCACTTTCTCCATTGGGCTCTGCCAAATACAAATAATAAGATACAGGTAATTCCCCCAAAGCACTCCTAAAGTGATTGTCCAGCTGAAATTTGTTACAGTGAATAAAACACAAGAAGCGACCCATGGCCCGACTCTTGGAAATGCGATGAAATGGCACATAAACTGTCATACCATCAGTGTTTTTGGTTATTCTGCTAAAGCTGATCTCACTTAAAACAATAAAATTGTTTTCCATAAATTAAATGGCTAGAAGACAGTATTGATAGAATATAAATGGCTGGAATTCAGAGATCTTGATTCAAATTTAAATTCTACCGTCCTTAACTATATAATCTTGAATAAATCACTACACTAAGCCTTATTCTTCTCAAACGCAAAACAAGAATATAGTCTGTATGTCTATATGTATATGCATATACATATATACACACGTATATCATGTGTGTATTACACACACATATATATACATAAATTTGTTATTACCCTTGTTTTGCATTTGAGAGGACAAGACTCAAAGCAGTGATTTATTCAAGATCACATGACTAAGGACATACAAACCTGAGGCTCTGTATGTCTGAAGATATGTGCTGCTGTTGCTATGATTAAAGGAAAAAATGTAAGTACATTAAAGAATGTAAGCTCCATGAGTGTTCAGTTTTTCTTTTGCTCTGTTTGCGACTCTATTCCCGGCACCTAGAAGAGCACTCGGCACTGAGCAGGCGCTCGATGAGGAATTAACAACTGAATGAATACGTAAAATATCTACAGGTGACAGAGGCTCAGGGAATTCCAACACACCAGCCTCCAGCCTGGGCGTGGGCTTCCGAGTCCCGCAGTCCCAGGTTGGCATGCCGGCTCCCCCACCTGCCAGTCCCAGGATGGAACTTGTACGGAAACTCGGCGCTCTCCGGTTCATCACCTTTGAAAGAGCAAAACCATGCCTGGTCCTGCCCTGGCATCGGTTAGTGCCGCCTCTCGCTTGGTCCCAGCTGCTTTTCAGACAGGAGCTAAGAAGAGCAGCAGTCGGAGCACAGGGCTCACTCCAAGTCTGTTTTGGAGACAAAAGAGTGAATAGCAATGGGACCACTATTTGGCATGGAAACCCTTGGAGCCAACAGTAAAAATTAGTGTAGAACCCCAGGCCCCATGCCCGGGAAATAGCTCCCCAGCACTCCGTGTCCTTGGGAGGGGTACGCCCAAGAGAAGCCACAGTCCCTGTTCTTTTTAAGCGATAATAAAAAAGAGTAAAGGATGTGTGTCCCAATTGCCAGTCTATGTTTTCTTCCATTAAAAGTTCGAAAGGATTTTTTTATCAAAGACCAGAACATCTGGTGTGTCATGAATCTGACTTTTGAGGACAAAGCAAGCATTGTTTTCAGTTCCAGATTTTTGCAAGTCCAAGAGTTTGAACCCACGAAAAATTGCTTTTAAGACAGGAATGAGACCAGAATGATCTCTAATACCAAATCCAAATATTTACCATTTCTGAACTGAGCAAGAGCCGAAGAGCTGCCCAGAGCCTCAAAGCGCCTCAAAGATTGTGGCTACTTACATCTGAAATACAATAGTCATCAATATGAATAACACTTGTTGTGAACAATAATTATGGTAATGGCTCATACGTGAAAATGCTACACATCCATTCTAGGCACCGTGAGCAGCAGAAAGAGTGGGCGCACTGGAAATTAGCAGACCTGAGTTCAAATCCCACCTCCACCCTTTGCTATCACTATCGGAAAATTATTTTTAGGAGGTACGACTTCTCCCTCTGTTGACACGAGGATAAGGAGACCTTTGCACCAAGATTCTTTTGGTGCAAGAATAAATAAAATAATGAACATGAACGTGGCAGACACAGTAAGCGTTCAGCTCTATACATTTTTGTTTTTCTTCTTAGCCTTGGATAAAAATTAACATGTGTTTATCTGGAGAACCACCATCACTCTTTCCTTACCTCACCTCCCTAGCAGCACTGAAAGAGGAATTAATAATTAGTCAGTGTTTGGGAAACACTTAGAAGATAAAAGTGCTGGGTGTGGAACAGCACCATTTACATCACAATACATGAGCTGGCTGCTCCTTCAAGTGGATCTACTTTCAACATAACTGAGTCCTAATAGATGTGTTCCCGTCATTCGAAAATCAATGTGGGAGTTTTTGGAAAAAGACCTGTGTCTGCCTGCTATGCGAGAGCCAACTCTGTGCAGTTGGCAGGCACTTCTGGAGATGCGATATTATAGATAACCCCCTAATAGCTGGGGTGATGAGAAACCAATGAAAAGAGGTCAAAAGTTTATTTAACTGAAATCCACAAAGCACCCTCTGTTCCCTTTAGTGACCACTTTTACCAATGGGAAGGACATCTCATCCATTTTGGTTTCACATTTTTCTTTGCCCCTGCAGATCGGGGAATACAGGAATGGAATAAGGAACTCAGTTGTGCCTGGATAGAAGCAGTATTCCTCACGCGACGATTTCGAAATCCCGGAGGAGGAGTATGATGCTCTGCGGGAGAAGCGGGGAGCTGCAAGTC